TCCATTCTGATTTCAGTCATCTGAACTAGCAAATTCTACATCTGTATCCTCTACCTTGCTCAGCCGAAGCAAAAGACAATGTTGCGCAGCCTGCACCACGGATAGCTGCTCCTGTGGTGGATGTCCAGCTCAACTGTTGCTTCCCAAACAGCCACAGGTGAATGTCATGAGATTGTCTTCATTGTTTTTTAGTATATTCTGGTCAAATTGATCATCAAAAGAGAAAGGTACCGCATTCCAGGTAGTCTGCCCAGAACGCTGCCAGCCGATGTGCACAAATGCTTGTGTGATGGAGACTGTAAGTTTTCCCCAGTTTTGTAATCTTAGCTTATTGTTGAAAGACCTAGTTGCTCTCAAAATGGACTGACTTATTGCTTTGGTACTCAATTTCGAAACAGTATTTTACATTCTGAACTCAAAAGCGACCTATTCAGGTAACATGTCCCAGCCGATGCCAACCGCTTTGCACCAGCACCTGCATAATGGCGGTGAGTACGACTTAAGGTCTATTGTTTATCTCCTACAGTAATCCTTGCATTTCAGCTTCCATCAGTACCGGCACCAGTTGTACAGTGCACTCCACAGTGTATGCCGTACTGTGAGCCGTCATGTGTCAATTCACCCATGGTACCTTGATTTTATTTCTGCTCTTCAAAATTTGCTCATTTGAAAATTGGATGCGATCCAACCCATCATAAGGAAGTTAACCTTACTCGTAGGAAAACAGGAGATCACCTAGATAGGCGAAGGCCTATTATTTATATTGGCCCTGGATCTGGGAACAGTTCCCCGACCGGTTCAGCAACGATCTCTGACGTGGGTGTGTGCATTTGCCCCCCAAAATTCGATGGATTGGTTGATGTGGTTGGAGCCTATCCTGAAGGACAGAAAACCGATTACGGAGATAGGCAGTAGAAGTTTGAAGCAGTGGAACCATTATCAGAGATTTGCAGCCTGCTGAAGCGCAACGGTGGGACTTTGGGAGTTCGGGAATACCCACTCGTCTCGTCACACCTTCACGAGTATTGGCCCTTTCATTTCAACAACAGATTTGTCTTTATGGGGAAGTCTGGCGAAAATTTTTTCCAGCCCTCAGAATTCACTAAATAATTGAAATCAACATCGGAACGCGTCCCTACTCTATTTTCATCTTAGGATACTCGTCAATGATTCGCCTTGGTTCCCAAATTTTGAGTTTAGTAGTCGTAAGGTACTGAGATTGAAATGTTGAAATTACAGATAGCTCAACCAATGTGTGAATCTCGCTGTATGCCATCATGCTCACCACAATGTGTGCAGACCTACCAGGTAAGTAGATTTCATCGTTTTTTCATCTTTCCAAGAGGAATTTCACATTTTTGTTCTACTTAAACATCTTTTTAATGCCCAGGTACAACAGACATGTGTTCAAGAATGTATGCCCACTTGTCAACCGACTTGTATTCGTGCAATGGAGGTCTGTAATGCTCTTCATTCCTTGTATTCTGCCAAAAACAAAGCAAGAAGTCAAGACCCTTTTCAATTTCCTTTGCAAGTCTACAGTTCAGGTCGTGGCCTTCCCAAAACTAACGAAGAGAAGCTTCTCCTATAAATAAGGAATAATGTTGGAAATAAATGTTCTGAGCAGTACATTACGGGTGCTATACAAGTAAATACATAGTAATCCCTCCACGGGTAGTCATAGGGAAAGCCGTTTCGTTAATTTTGACCTCAGAAGTCAAAACCTAAGACCTCAATTTCTTCGATGCCGGTATAATCAACGGTATCTGGCCGTGGACCGAAGGTCATTACAAACCTTCATTCTCCTCAAGGTTTTTTGACCAATACCTTGCTCAGGAGGGTAAAGCCCTCTCATAACCTCTACCTCATTTTCAGATCGGCATAGGAGGTGATAGTGTTGACACTATGATTATCTACATAGAAAGAGGCTCGATTTTTGAATTTTCCTCTTTTGTAGCTCACCCACTCACAGCATACAGGCATTTTTTTAAAAAGATTAATGTTACGGATTGTTTTCGATTCATCCTCAAGTGACAGTGCCATAACTTACTATCTAGGTTCGCCAAATAACAACGACAACGTGTGTGGAAGCCTGTCGACCTCTCTGTCAACCATCTTGTATTCAAGCTGTCACTTGCAGTACCTGCATGAACGATTGTCCGGCTATGTGTGGGTAAGTACACTTCGGGAAATTATAGTGAATCTCAGGATGAAACAGCATGCAAACCTACGAACGAAATGACTTTCTTCGAAATAAACGAAGACTTTGTTCCAAAGAATCATCTTTGAGGCCTTTAAGACTATTCAATATGAGTAGAAACGGAATTTTAGCAGACAGAAGACCGTCCATAACGAGATAACTAGATGATCCATCAGAAAGACAGGATCTCTATAGTTAAATTTGTATTTGATCCACCACTTCCTCTATGAAATCGTTTTGACTTCATTATTTTTTCTTTCACCATCATGCACAGCAACTGTCCACCGCGGCGAACGTCCGTTGCGCGCGTCTAGGTCACCCCGTCCACTTCGCGCGCGGCGCACTCCACTGAGGTCTCGAGATGACGTTACAGTACCAGTGAGTGGAGCGAACGATTTGCATTTGTCTATGTTATCTTCTCTTTGGCGACTACCGCTGAGAAAGGCAAATCGTATGCCCCGCGTACAGCTGCGTCGACTGTCAACTATCGCGGGCTGACCCGCCGCATGCGACGGCTGCGGCGTGACCTAGTTTCGACGGACATGCGCAGCGAAGCGCACCCGTCCACCGCCATCACTGCACGGAATGAGAACCAAGGACGTTAGCGTGAAATTCTTCGCGCAATATTTTCACATCAACTTGAACCTCACCTCCACCATGTTTTTTCGTCCCCTCATACAAAGCTGTCTTCACAGGATCTGCTTTGATGCACTTCTGATTACGTTTTTAATTTCAGTCAGCCGGTTTGCGTTAATGCTTGCATGCCTCGTTGTCTTCCGACATGCATCCAGGCTATGCAGGTATCGTCTTCTTCCAATTTGTTTGATACTTATTTATCTCAAAGTAAGGAGCAACAAAACTGTATAGTTAACGACAGTATCCAACTTCAAATCACAACGAGCTGGTGTGGTGTAGTGGCGATCATACACCACTGTTAGTCACTGTAGCTATGGGCTGTATACGCACTCAGAATGGCACTCCTATTCTGTGCAGGGTGGTAAAAGCATCCCGAAAACGGGGTCAATTGACGCCAGAAGACCCAGTCCCCAGTCCTCCTCAAACCATAAGTTCGGCCTTCACTAGCTCGCCTTCCCCGGACAAGTTCAAAGTCACAATCCTTATTTTGGTTTGAGTAGTCTTACATAGTAAGAATAGCAACTACTGATTAAAAGCAAACGTCAAAGGGTGAGAATTCCCTAAATTTCCACGTCTTATCCCAGATGATGCTTGGATTTTGAGTTTTTTTTTCAACAGAGACCAGAGGGAAACATAAAGTACAAGTACGTGTTTGAGTCACGTCCGAGATGAAATTTTGTCCATAAATCGCCAACCTTGTGAGATAAAGTACCCCCTCAGAACTGCCTCAGAACTGACTATATAATGACTTTCAGTAGTTTTTCAAGCGTACAGACATAAATATACTCTATTAATAGGTACAAACGAGACCGGTCCCAATGGTTCCTTGTTCTCCGGGCTGTGCACCACCGTCATGTTCACCACTTTGTATGCAGCAGAGTTGCCCACAACAGTGCATGCCATCATGTACCCCGTCCTGCATCCAGCAGTAAGTTTTCCCTTCCGACTTCATTTTGAACCTTCCTAATCAGATTTTCTTTTCAGATTCGCTACCCAACTTTCTCCAACGAAAACATGTGCCACTGAATGTATGCCAAGCTGTGAAGCTAGCTGCCTTGCACAGGTCTCTTTCAGTTGTCAATCAAAAAACTAATTTCTCGAAAATTTGGTAGAAAAACTAAAAAAAAAACTAACTGGCTAAAATAAAGGTAACATGCGCTCCGACTTGCATGCCTGCTTGTGCACCGTCATGTGTTGCTCTTCATCAACCTGCACTGCCACCTCCTCCACCTGCTCCGCCTGTTGCACCAGCACCTCCGCCAGCTCCAGTGGCTTCACTACAGTGTTCTGCTGCTTGTATGCCATCCTGTCTACCATCGTGTACCCAACAAAGTGAGTTGTTCTCTTGAGACCACTCCCACGGCTTCACTAACCTGGACGCACGTTCGGAACTTCGAAGCCAATCTATTACCCCACCTAGATGCTTGAAGCCTAATCGAATCTCATTATAGCAGCGCAAATAGCAGTACCATGTGGAAATCCATGCTATTGCCAACCAGGATATGTGCAATGCGCTGAGACAATGTGCTGTCTGAAGTGGGTTCAATCATAGCAGGCCCTCCAGAATGGGAACATCTTCAATCTCCTCTATTGCAGGTACAGGAATTTGGCGTCAAAGTTTAGAAAATTGAAAAACAGTGACAAAAAAGAAGAGATTTTCAACGACAACGAGGTTCGGAGCTTCTACGTCATCCTAGACCCCGAAAATTGATAAAGTCCACAAAATATTGTTATTGCTCGTGGTCTAATACATAAAAGAGTCTGAACTCATGAAATCTGGGAATAAGAATCGTTTTTTTTGCGTTTTTCAAATGCGTGAACAAAGCACCCTTACAGACCTCCCTACCGAATCCGTGATAAAAAGCGTGAAAGACTAGAAGGGCCGCCTAGGAAACCTAGGAGCTACGAGTGAATCCTTTTTCTTAAGAGATCGCTTCAAGCCGCCACTGATCATGAGCAAGATCTTATTCATTCAGTATCACTTTTCTTACCGAAAATCCACGATGGATTGCACCTGTTGCGAGGGGGCGTGATTCGTGGCGGAGAGGCGGGAACAAATAACGTATAGGGAGCAGCATGCTCGAACAGGCTTCCAATAACAAAGACAATAATGACGAGTTTACCATGCTATCTGATGATATAAGCAGCAAATGTCTCGAAGACCCTTCATAGAAGCTGAAATCTGATTTTAAGTTTTCTTTGTTTGAACCTTTCGTACGAGTGGATCGATGTTCTAAACTTTTTTCCTTTAAATAAAAATTTGACCTCCGGAATTGATTGATAGTAGTGCGAAGGTAATTTTCCCAGTTAATACTTTTGATGTCTTTGTTGGACAACCATGCGAAGCAAGACAACAATTCTAAAAACAAGCCATAGCCAGCTAAAGCATTGAATTTTCCAGTGGTGATGCCGTCAAATTTTCAAATCCTATTCCTCTATACTTGAAGTTCCTCAATGTATCCAACTTGAAAATTTCAGGCTCACAGCACGAATCTACATAGCAGTCTGAGCCTCATGAGCTCTTAGCTTCGTCATCACTATTTGTAATAAATTATAATAAGTTGTATTAGATGCTCTGTATATAGTGCTCACAACCAGGTCGTTATTCAATATATAAATAGACATATATATCAGTATTTAAATCGTAATAAACATTAGAATGCTGAATACTTGTAAACCATTGCCTATCTGAGCTGATCTCAGCCTTTCATCGTAACATCAAACAATGCAATGAAAAATCAAAAATTACGGCTGTAAAACTTGATTTCTTCTCGTCATTAGACGGTAGCACCCCAAACTAAATGTGAATTGTCATCATCTCTCAAGCCCCATCACATGAGCCACTCATTGGTTTCTTTTCTCTCCGAAATCTGCATTGTTATGCCATTTTGACCGTCACAACGAGTAATGAGCAGTAATCAAAATTTGGGGCGGTTGCTTCATCCATGTAGATGCAAATACATTGCAAACTGGAAGCAAGTAAGCTCTGAGGAGCCACAATAGGAACTGATACTAAGAGCTGAGCAAGGACAGCGCGGCACGGCCAGTCCGCCCATCCCAGTGCAAACTCCGCCCACTTTAAAAACGAACACATTTCTCAAATGGTCTGGATCTCTCATTTTCTGCGCCGAAAAACGTTGTTGAAAATGGTTATAAATACAGTAGCCACGCCTCTAATACGTTTAGAAAAACTCTATAGAAAGCATCTTTTATGCATGTTCATTGTGTCTCTGAAACCTTTAAGCACTCAGAAAAAGGACCAAAAGCGCCCCACAGTCTATAATTAACGGAAGTCACTTTTGTAATTCGCTGATTTAAACTAGAAACTGAAAAATCAGAAATCAAGATCGGAAATGCATCGATATCAAACGTTGAGGATATACTTTTTTACGGCACTATGTCTCTAAACTCTCAGACTGTTAGTGTTCTACTAGTCTTTTGGCTTACATAAGGGACTGAATGGCTCGACTGACTAGACAGAACGATCCACTCTGGCAACTGCAACCTCTGCACTGCCAAGCAATTATCAGTTCAACAATGTCTCCGGGAGCGATCCTCTCACCTAACAATAAGGAGAGAATTATTCGGCCGAAGTTGCAAGAAGCCTCACCCACTCAAACAGAGAATGTCGTCTACGAAGGTTATCGTCGTTCTTCTCCTTGTCTCCCTTTCACCAGCAACTACCTTAACCATCACTTTATCTCGTACTGCAGGCACCCCGAAATATTTCTATGAAGCTCGATCATTAATTGTTTGCCGGACTAAATGTGAAAACGAGGTTTGTGCTTTGATAATTCAGTGATTTTGTTCTAGTAACCTCATCGACCCTATTGAATAATGGCATAATGCCGTAGAATGAGGAATAAGATTGTAAAAATGCGTCCAGAATTTCTATGAAGTGTCACACACACTCGGCTTCTATGCGGGATCGCACATGTAATCCCAACTGCAGTTTCGATTAGAAGGCATTCTTCCTCATAGCGATGCTCGGATTTTCGCTTTCCATTCACGAATGAGATGGAGATTTGATAGGGCTTCAATTCGTTGAATATCAATGCGAATTAAAACATCAAAAAACTCGCTAAATTCTTTTGGACTGACCCCGGATCGTTGGAAGCCTTGAATGGCCCGGTGGGTATTGGTTCAGGGTTCTATCCCCACCATGCTACATGCCACTACACCACCTCCACCCGCTAAAATTAATGCCTTAAGGGTTTAGGGCGTTAATCAACCCCGTCTGAGGAATGTGCACACGCATTCTACTACCATTTAGAAACGTAGTGGCATATTGAACTACTGAATGCGTATGTGGCCTATACAATGAATTGCGGTTCCCAGCCGACGTACACATCAGTGCTTTTATAATCCCAAACGAAACTGGCACCAATTAACCGACCTGGAAAGATGAAGAGCTTGGTTGGCCTAGGATAGGCGGATATCGATCCTGGATTCGAACTTGTGACCATGGGTGAGTGAAGTGTGCCGCTTGCAACCACTCCACCTCCACCTTCTCCACCCATTAAAACATCAAATTCTCAAGCAATTCAGATCCACACATCTCTGCGTTTCTCTTACTCGAGTACCTGATTTCAGTGCAATAACAATACCACAACAATCTGGAGAAAATTAAAATGTAACACCTGCGTCCAAGATTGTATCAGGAAAGAAAATATGATCTATGAAGATGGACCACAAGGTACGAACACTCAAGATTACATCGATTCGTTTCATAACACTAGATTACTGCGAAGCAATTTTATGGTTTATTTGCTGTAACATTATGTTCAAAATCCAGCATACCAATTCATTACCCTATTTCTAAATACTTATCAACTAAAACGACCCAACGCATTTGTCGGATCCAGGGAGTGTACGCTAAACCTCTCATTATTACAGTAACAGAAAGTCAATAAAAACTACTATTTCGATCGCTAACTATTTCAGACCGCGGTCTCATCCGTTCAGTTCATCTCTGTTGTGCAAGATTGGTTACCTACTCACAGATCTCAGCCAAACTGATATTTGACTTCAACGATGACCCCATTGTTGAACATGCTTTTGGAGTATTGGAATATCGAGCCCTGGCAGATGCTGACGATCTTTACGAACCCGTATGGATTCTTAGTCAGGTAAGGATATCGAGGGGATATGAACTACTTCTTCCCGTTTTGTTAATGACTCTTTGTAAAGGTGTAGAACATTTATGCCGCCAGAAATTCACCCTTCCAGATTGTTCGTGAGCGCTTCGTCAACATAAGCGACCTAAAATGCGGATATCTCTACCAATTTCGACTCACACTAGTAACTACTCGAATTATCGATCGACGTACAAGTTTATGGATTTCAAATCGAAATCTCTGTAGATATTAGTTGTTTCTAATTGTTTTAGACTGGAAATTACTTGCATGATTTACGGCTACATAGGGTAAAATTTTCTTTAAATTTGTCCGACCACACTATGACGGCGTTTTCTCCTCTCTCTACCGTAATATTGAGGCCTAGCGAACCTATCAATGGCTATAAACCTATCAGGATGCCGATAAAACAGCATGTTCTGAGAGGCAAACGTTCTCGTTAATCGCTAAGCTCTGAGGCGAAAGTGCGATTTTCGATAGTATAGTAAAAGAATTTGATAATGGAACCTTTATAAACATATAACAAATGTCAACATCAACAACGCCCCGATCAACAATTAAACATCAAGGCCATAACAAATCAAAGACCCCACAACCTTTCGATCGCAGCAATGAGCGATCACAAAAGCGATGTGATTTAGGAAGTGGCAATGAGACGGAAATGTAAAGACGGTGAGCAAATCAGGCTAAAAACATTCTAATAAAGACCTACTTGACCCAATATCACGAGTAGAACAAACTATAGAAAATCACAGAAAACTTCACCAGTTCAATGGTCTGCGTGGTAAAGAGATTTTCTCTATCCTGTACTGTGCTTGAGATTCCTCTTCCTCCCGTTTCCGTTCGGAATACTTCTGTTGCACTTCTATTTGATTAAATAGGGACACGATTTCCGACTAAAAAAACACACATTTTTACTTGAAAAGTTGATGTTAGAAGCGGGGGCAATCAACTCCTAACGCTGATTTTTCAATTGCATTAATTGACCTGAACGATAGAAATAACAACTCACCAATCTTTCAGAAAATTCCAGCGCCTCTTCTGCTACATGGTGTAAATCATTTTCCCAAACTAATCGACTGCCGAACACATCAGTCAACACAGTCATTAAGGAGAGCGCCTTAACGTATATTAATAATAATATAATATAACGTATATATAATTACAAGGTTTCAAACACCAAACAAATCCCAAATATTCCAAACAGAGCCCACAATTACATATACCTATTATGAGCCTATGTTTTCCAATAGAAAAACACTCTAATGAGAAACTCTCAACATACCTCCTCAGCGATGTTGCCATGTTCAGGCGAAACGTACAAGTTCATACATTTCTGCATGAGTATCGAAGCATTCTGGATAGTTATCTTTCGTGCGGCAGCATCTGTCATAAGACGTGGATCAAAATGCCGGGTCAGAAGGTGTGCCAACAAGTAGTCGCTATCTGCATCATCCTCCGACGATTTGCTATAAAAGGATAGTCCTTGAGCGTTAATCAACACCGTCTGGGGATGCGCCCCCGTACTTGACTTAAATTCAGAATTATAGTAACGTATTGAATACGTATGTGACCGACACAGACTTGTGACGACCAGCATATGTACAAGTTAGTGCTTTCATCCTCCAAGACATTTCTAATACTAATTAGCCGAACCCGAAGGGATGTATGGTTTAGTTCGTTTGGGGGATATCGGTTTGGGTTTCGAGCCGTGACCATGCGTGTTAGATAGTGGACCACGTGCCACTACTTCACTTCCGTCCTACGATTCGTAGAAGAACTAGGAGTCAAGCAAAAAAGTGGTACGAAAATGAAAGGTTTGAGCGAAGTTACCTGGCCACAAAATTCAGCAGAACAGCAAGACACTGCTCAGACAGCGAATCACTTGACTCGATAGCTGAGCGAACCAGGGCCATTTGATCCAAACTCAGACATAGTTCATAAAAAGAAGCCAAGCAACTGAAAAAAGAAAGAAGCTTGACCAAGAACTACTATATAGTATTAGAATCGAAGTAAAACAATTGAAGATCTACCTCAACCCGAACACGTTCGTCCTTCGTAGCACTTCACATATGTTCTTTAACTCCTTTGAACTAAACGACTGTGTTGGTAAGAAATGAAGAATGACGGTTTGTTCATCTTTCGTTAAGAAACCATCCGCGTTCGCATTTTTGGCCGACAAGTACTTTAGGGCATGTTTCCACTTTCCATTTTCTAACTGAAAACGACCACTTTACCGTAACTTTCTAACCAAGAAGCAAAAAAAGAAGTCGCTTTGTAAGCATCGAATTTGCCTACCACTCAGTAAAAAAATGGATGGAACTAGAAGAAGATACTGAAAGCATCATTACAATGCCCTCAAAAAACTTACAGGCTCCTTCACAAAGTCTTTCAAAGCGGAGTGAAGCTTTTTTTGATTGCTTTCTTCCACTGGACAGGGAGTACTCGAAAAACTTGAAAATCTTTTGGGAGGGCTTCTTTGTCGTCGATTAGCAACTACTTCACGAAGTCTAGAAACCCTGAAAAGAAAGATGTTTGGGGGCTAGCAAATTTAAAAAAGACACAAATACCTACCGTAATGGAATATCAGCAAAGGTAGCATTATTTGTCAGCCGCACGCATTCGTCCGATTCGCGGTATTGGACCTTAAAAGTCGTAAGGATGAGAGTCATGTGCGTAAAACCGTAGAGGGGTCCTACACAACAACAACGGGGAAACACAGTTAATTAACACATTTGAAGTCTTCCCCATGTCGACATATGTCAATCAGACCATTTCTGCCAATAAAATCAGATAAAGAACGACGAGCGGTTGAAAATAAATTATCATTATCATTGTCATTATTAAGCCCAAGAACATCTTGCACTTATATATAGAATTGGTTGGCCAAGTCTAGAAGCCATTCCTTCAAAGTCATGTATTCTCCTAAAGGATGTGATACCTCTCATGATTCAGGATGCTCACCCACATCAAATCTGTGCACGTTCATGGCACAAAAAATTAAACGAATGTGACTCTACTTGCTCATGTTAGAACTTATTCAGAATAAGCTTGAATTTCCAAACAAGTCCGGATTCACATCACACTAGGATCCTATATGGGCTACTAACACCTCGTGCAAGCATTGAAGGAGGAGAGCATTTTAGTAAAAACGTAGAAAGACAAAGTTTGGATCACCTCGCATGGGTCAGGCTCTCCATCCGGCCATGGTACCTTGATCTCTGACAACTGTTCACCATTGGGGTCGTTGAGCCGCAGAAGTACATAATTTCGACCTAAACTGTTCTTTACCACTACGTTAAAACTTCACTTCATTCTTTTGAGTATAACTGACAGCAAGAAGTTAACACATAGGATTTGTTAACAATGTTCTTATAATGAATGGTCGCACTTCAATAGTCTACAACTTTTCCAGACCTATGCGGGTGACTTTTTAGAGAAAAAAAGGATTCACAATCGGTCAATCATAGAGACACGGTCTCTAAAGAATAACTAATGTTGTTAAATAAGAAGTGCAGACCCTCTTTCTACTAGAGAAAAAATTCCGTTATGATATTTGAGTAGGAGTTTCGAAATAGGACAGATAGGAGGAGCCTTTAGGAAGTGTTTTCTTAATCAAAAATCCTTTATCAACGAAGCACTACTTTCTCATCGTAACACACACGCACGCGTCAAGTTGTGGGGAATGTATTCAAGTAAACCGAAAATCTACAACAAGTTAGCTTCGGATACAGAACACTGCGCGGATTAACGTCTTATTAATTACGAGGCGCGTTAAATGAAACAAAAATAGTAGGGGCTACCCTGTGGACCAATAAACTTGGTAACTTCTAGGGAATCTTTGACAAATGTCCGTTGTTCTTATATGTCTTCAAATAGATTACCTGCGACCGTTGAAATTAGCATCAAAAACCGCAACCGAAAACTACAACTTCTTCAACTGCCACCGGCTTCAGGTCGGGGGTCAGGTCACCCGGGGCCCACCCACTGCGAAAATGTTTAAATAGGCAGTTTGAAAGGTGGTCTACATGTCGTCTCCTTTATTCTAAGGTGGGTTCCCTTATTGTGGTTTACGAGACCTATTCAGTTATCTGTAGGTTTACTTGGGCTAACTGAAGTCTGAAATGGTGCATGAGTTGGACGAATCTCAAATTCTTTTTGGCTTCCAGGTCCTGACGAAGGCGGTAACGCCGAAACGTTGACTGAATAAAGTGCTGTACCATCTTGGCTGAGGCTATACCACACATCTTCATATCGGAACTCACACGATGCCAAGATTCATAGAAAGTCGTTCATGGTACAACTTCTTCGTCCAAGAATTTTATACTAATGACCAACGCTGAATTTTGTTGCTTGTACGAAATTGAAGTTTTGGTGAATTTTCTGTAAAAAAAAACTCAGGAGCATAGTCTATGGGGAGCATCCTATCACAACCGCACACTTGTTGGTTACTCATCCTGGCGATTACTCACAAACAGATACATAAATAATCTTATGAATTGAAATAAAACATATTGCTCATTTACCCCGTACTGCTACATAAATGGAACAGTTGTAAAGAATAAGAGCACTAGGAAACTAAGGAAAATAGACAATGTTGTAGCGGTAGGAACTTATACACAAGGCTTTCTTTTTGAGATTACGATTATGAAGTTTGTGAGCAAGAAACATAGAGAGAAAATGTATAAGTAATGCTGTCTAAAGTATCACTTCAATCAACTCAAAAAAAGAAATAGAAGAAAAAAAAGGTAAAAGAAACAAGCAGGAAAGATTTACCTGTTTTTCTTTCTTCTGAATCTGGTCTTGTTATTACCAAAGCTACACAGTCTCCTATACCACATTCAAGCGGCATACTAAAAAACGATATAACAAATGTGAAACAAAGCCAATTCTGCCATTTCGGTATATGTGTAACCTATAAGTAATGAATTCACGGCTCGTAATGATCATCCTGACCTTCCCAGGAAACCTAATTTTTGTTCCTAATTAAGATCACCTAGACAAGTCTAGTAAGATAAATTCTGTGTCAAAATTCCCATCCTAGAGCATATTCTATTTCTTTCAACTCCCAAATATCTCGAACAATCAAAAACAAGGAAGAAAACCAGGCTATCCTCAATAGAACCTCTTGACAGGCCCTTTGATAACTACCCGAACGCAGAACCCGTGAGAATACCCGCAAGAAAACCAAGAATCGCCCCAAAGCATTTATCTCCCCTTATAGAAAATGATAGCAATAATAATACAAATCACTGACAATGTATGAAAAACATTCTTCGATTTTTCAAAGCTCCCGTTCCTTAAAAAGACAAGTTCTATAAAAAATTAGGCGTTTGTGGATCGTACCTTCTGTGGATTGCACACCCTGCGTTTTAGGACGTCTTGATTAGGACGTACCGTTTCTGGACGGAGATGGAGGATGTAGGAGACACTCATTCTTATTAGGAATCTTCCCTTTCTTCAGCATACAGCCCCATATTTGAAGTGTTTTTTTTTGGATTAGGTCATAGAGAATGGAGCTATTGTCCGTTGGTGCCAGAATTTCCACTACAGCCTTAAATACCAACCGCGTTTGGATTATCACCGACCATACAAAGCAACAGCGCTCCCAGACAACCGTGAATTTTCCCCTCTGCTATGGAGAAGCCGTTCAAACTGGGAAAATGGATTTGACACAAACGGAGCGAAGCTGCCCTGCGGATACGTGTAAACAACTGCCAAAAGTTTGCTGTCCGAAGTTGCTCTTTCACTGGCTGGACAAAATCGTTACAGGGGCGAGCAGTAGATTGTCTACATAGGCCATACCCAGAAACAGCAGTAAAAGATAGATGCAGAGCAACAGTTCTCAGTACCGGGCATTACTCTTTACTCAACCCGATATAAGGTTTTTGGGTAGGAGGTGATGTAGGGGGAAGTCATGCACTAACACACACGCATGGTCAGGGTTCGACTACCGAATAGACATCCTCCTAGGTTAACCTTACTTTCCATTCTCCCGGGGTCGGTCATTGGTACACACTCGTCTGGTAGGATAGGAGGATATGCACTGGCTTGTTCATCGACTGGCCGCCGCGAGTCATTGTGATTTCTGACAAATCTCTTGAAGGTGAGGCTTGGCTAAGACCTTTCATGAGGTTCTGGGCATTTTTTGTACTCCCCTGCAGGATTTATCTCTTCCGTTTTTTTCGAGTACGGTGCTGTGGATGATTGAAAGATCCAAAATGATTATAAACAGGAACGGTGTGGTACAGGGCGATGCTGAAGATTCCACGGCCTTTGACAAATGCCCGTTAACACCGTTAAAAGCACCCATTCAGACGACTGTAGTAAATCAGTACTGTATGCCTGGACGATACACGCTACCGTACACCTCAATCTCATCCGATGGTAAATCATCCTCTGCTGATGCTCACGCATTCGACCCCTATTCGGAATCCTTTTGGTCCGGAATTCGGTCAGTTCTGAATGCGTATCTGCACTATAAACTCATTTACAAAAGCATGTGCTGCATTTGTCGATTTTAAACTCGCAGATGAGCCTGCTACAGTCTGAAGCTCAAGAGGTGTTCCCTACGCAAGAGACCATCCAAATCCTCCAACCTCAATCTTTAGAAATTACCAAAAATGAATCGAGTTTGAGAACTAGCTATTACCGTTTTAAGTAGACACGTTACCTAGCTTTTTATCCTACAGGTACATCAGGCGATTGCACGACCTTTAGAGTGAACCCTGTTCCTTGCCAGCGCCTATGGGCGACCTATAACCAGCGCGTGGCCTTAGGTCTCGACCTTCCCTCGGGGTAACCTAGGGAAGATCCCAGCTACGCCCCATTTTCTGCACATTTCACAATGTTCCCTACCATGTACCCTAACAACTTCTACTACTCCGAAGATCCCGTTACCCCGTGCTATGTCTATAGCTCGTTTACTCAGATGTATCATGTGTATGGGAGTTCTAATGCTTCCACGGAGCAATACTATTCTTCCTATAATCATCAGCAACCGGTGCAGTACCCTGTTGCAAACCAGGCAGGATTTCCTACTTTGCCTCTCGAAGCCGAAGCGGTATTCCCTATTCAAGATACCCAACCCTACGGATTTGCCGGTGATGGAGCGGAATCGCTCTATATTGCTGATGGTTCGGAATATGCGAACAACCCACTAGAGAGCCAATATTCTGATTCGAATCTCTACGCCACGAATGAAACTTTACCGTCCAATATTGGCGATATTACCATCCCGTACATGGAAGACGATGATTTCTATCCTGGAATCCTTGCTCCATCTCATCAAAAAGGACGCGAACCAGTTCTGCTCTATCGAATCCCGAGAACTGATCTCTGCTATGTTTACATCCTTTTTACTGGGACACATGGAGAGAAGACGACTTATATTTGCAAAGAGTGCTGTTTATTAAACAAATTTGTACCTGCAGAGGTCAGTAGTCTTCCTGATTTGGTAGTTTCCAAGTTTTGCTTTCGGGGCGACGTGTTTTGATGAAAAGTGCAGAAAAATCTGATTTCGCTATCTTTTCAGGTTACCAATCTGTGCTACTTCGTCGAGGATCCTATACGTGCCGGCCATATTTGCCATCCAAGGAGGTTCCGGAAAGAAATGGAAGCTCGCAAAGCAGTTATGGTAAGTTACTGTAAAAAGAGTACAGGATTGTTACCGTCAACAATCCATCTAATAGAGAGGCATGTAGGCAGTGAAATTGAAGATATAATATAATCACTTTTAGCGGTGCAGCAACAGAAAACACTGAACGAATTTTCCTTCCTTAAAGACTGGCTCTCATAAATTAGAAAAAAAAATTCGTTGAAGGTGTTGAGTAGTTATGGATTAAATTCCCAATCTGCTGAAGGAAGTGGATGGCGTGGTGTTGGGCATAGTAAAGGGAAGGGTAGACAGGGGCCAAATTGGATCTCCTAGTTACTTTGGGTATTGAGGCAATTACAAATTACCGGTCTTTAAAAGTTTCCCGTTCTTAGCGTTTTTTATTGTCCTTGTCTGTGCCGACCCAACATGAAAAATTGGGGATGCAGTTAGAGCAGATCTCATGGCTCCCCGTGATGGGCATTTAAGAAATTCCTATCCATGAAAATGAATCTCTGCATTTTTTCATTGCTCAGCACGAATGGGATGTTTTCAGGCTCTCTATCGATCAGGACGTGATGATTCCGGGCTGGGAGACAGTTTCAACTGAGTTTCAACTCATTCGTCCAGCTTCTTTTTTTCTATTTCATAATGCATGCAATATTTCATGGATTCTTTTCTCCGAGAGCGTTTTTCGTTCAAGTTGTGCGGCTAATTGCAAAAGCACCTTTTTGTGTCTTTATTTTCCTTATAGAGCTTTATTGAAGAGATTCTATTGTAGATTTATATGTCTAATTCACTTGTTATTCACCAGTTAGTCGAATCTTTCATGGTGCCACATTTCATCTAGTTTTCATTACCCTTTTTTGGCTTTCCTATGCGAGGGTTGTTTTATGATGCATGTTGTACAAAGTGTTGAACGTTTTTTTTGGTGCCAGTTTCATTTATAATAATAGCAATAAATATGTTTTGGAACCATCAAAGTGCACTACTGAAGGTTTCCTTACCCGGCAAATTCACAGAACTGGGCTGGGATTGAAGCGGAAATGGGTGCTGTTTTAATAGATAATCAGATCTATGGGTTAAAAGAGTTTTATTGTGGAAAGCTAAGTGTTAAGCACGAGACTAACTACAAGACAGAGATTATAAAAAACGATTAATCAANCTTTTTGTGTCTTTATTTTCCTTATAGAGCTTTATTGAAGAGATTCTATTGTAGATTTATATGTCTAAGTCACTTGTTATTCACCAGTTAGTCGGATCTTTCATGGTGCCACCTTTTATCGCATTTTTATAATTCTTTTGCTCTTTTTTGGCTTTCTTATGCGATGGTTGTCTTATAATGCATGTTGTACAAAGTGTTGAAAGTGTACCTTTTGTGCCAGTTTCATTTGTGACAATTGCAATAAATACTTATTGAAAGCATCGAAGCACACTGGTGAAGGACTCCCTAGCCGGGAATAGGGCGCGGAGACTGTGTGGTGGGCTTGAAGCGGAAATGGGTGCTGCTTTACCAGATAATCAAACCGATGGGTTATGAGAGTTTTAAGGTGGAAAGGTAAGTTTCAGGCACGAGAGCCGCTTATTACCTAGATTCCCACATAAAACAAAAAAAAAAACAGAGTGAGCTCGTCAAAACCCTCAAGATCTTTACCAGTCCGTTGGCGTGGGTGGCCCTGTCGATGGTCAGATGTTGATCGAAAGGTGAGGACTGGGTGTTTTCGAAATGTTAAACAATGGGAGAGGCGACTATCTTATGATTTAATTGCTTATATCTACTTTTTCAATTATCTAGTATGACTTGCACAATCACAAAATGAATATCTTCCTTGCCTACAACTGGGTGGGCCCGAAAATCTTACAAGAGATTTCAAAAAAAATATCAGCTTAATTGGGCACAATCTTGAGGCCAAGATGCCTTATAATCTTTCTTGTCCATGGCTGCATCTGTTACGCGAAAAAAAANAAAAAAAAGAAAAACTAGTAAAGTCCAAGGAAAACTACCACAAAATCTGCCCTATGATATGTTTGGCAAAACATCCAAGTTATAACAATCATGACCCTCTGCTAATTCTGCCCTGTTCTGTTCACTGTTTTTTTTTCTTCAATTCCTCACTGGTAGGCCAAATATAATTGCTAAATTTACTCGGTTTACTTTTAGTTTATAATTTGATAATACCTATGGTATGTAAGTACCTACTCAAGAGTTGTGTTTATTTGACCACCATTCCAAGTCAACGCTTAGCGATCTGATCGCTCGGTTCGAATCATCTGTTGCTCCCTGTCAGTTTCTCGCCTTTTCCCCTTGCAAACCTCCTCTATTGCATTCTCTTCTTTCCAATTCTTTTGCTAGATTGACAGTCATATGACGTGACTATCAACGCTTTCCTATCGAATTGCGTTGACCGACCGTTGTTGACCAGTAGTTAGTCAACAGCATTGTTCCTAGGTTCAGCTTATATCCCTCTGGTAGGAGCCATAAGCGCCGTGAGAAATGTGGCCCAACCTAAAAAACCTGGCATGTGACGAAGATGGTCTTGAAACATGGCAAAAGTGAAACAGCTTGGTCTACTGTTGGCTCGTACAATAGCCAGTTGCCGTACGATCACTTTTTAAATAATTTTCCATAGCCTTATATGTCTACTTTATTCCATATCGTGTTTTATTTTTTATATTTCTATTTTTCGAAACTCCGACGTTTCCCCGTTTTTTTCCTCTTTTCCTCTTTTGCACTATTTCGCACCAATGCTTTCTTGACTTGACTTAAACCAGGTACCTCAAAATTACGAGTATCGCGCAATCTAGGGAAGGAATAAATATTGGAATGATCGGAATGCCTTTACACGATTATCACTTTCCCTTCTTTCTTTTTTATTCAACATACAATAGGAATCAATGAGCAGTATGATTCCCTGTTATTAGTCACTATTGTGATCCACCTACTGGGCAGGTCAACGGTCGCCTGTTCTCCCTGTGTGGAAAGTGCGAGTCGAAACAGTCGGCTACCGCCTGTCTTATGTCATCAGACTTTTTTTAGTCAAGAAATTCTACAGGGGGCCGAATAAGTGATAATCAGAGAGGGCTATGACAGGAGAATATGGAAAATGGGAAAAGGTTTCCACCCTAGCTCCTCAATCTTCGGTATTTTTTTAGTTACACTCGTTTCATGGGGTCATGTAGGGTCATGTGGTACCATGATGAAGGCTCATTGATGGCCGTCTCGGCCGTTTTTCTGGATAGTTTGCGCAACTTTCTGAAGCAGAGTGGCGTAAATGGATGCGGTGGCCTGACGCTTGGGAGAGCAGCTCACAGTACAGCTTCTTCTTGAGTCCCAGAAACAGCACATAAGGACCTTCTTGGGGTGCACGTCTGGTTTGGCTTGCATGGACGGCTTTTCTCGTCGGACTCCAGTCGACGCATGTGAGTTGGAGTGGTAGAGAACGCAACTCTCAGCTCCAATAATCCGGTCTTCCAGGAACCCCTTGCGATGCAAGCGCAGAGGGAGAGATTGACATTTAGATACCCGTCAATGTGTGAGTGGCCCACCGAGTCAGCACGTTTTGGTAGTCCAGGGCTCAAAGGCTATATGGAGTGGACTTGGCCTAAGTCTTCTCGTAGGACTGCAAGTGATAGCCTCCGATCCTCTTTGACAGCATCAAGAACGGCGTAGTTTTACAGTGCGTAGAGGCGTCCCATCCTAGACTTGATTTCAAACTCGTATCTCTTTTTGCGAAGCGAGCGAACCTGTGGTGGTGGTCGTCCGAGACTGGAGTTTTGCCCACAAATCGCCAACCTTGTGAGAATACTTTATCAGATTTTTTAAAGAAAGCGACTCTCTTCAGGAACTCCCCTTTTGTGTTTGTATTTACCTCGTAGAGCTTTAATGGAGAGATTCTATTCTAGATTAGTGTCCTATTCACTTGATGCTCACTAGCAGTCCAATCTTTCATGGTACTACCTAACAATTTCTCATCATGAAATTATTTGTTTTTTTTCGAAACCATTTTTTGCCAGGTATTTTTCCATGATGCATTCAGTACGAGTTGTTGAAGCTGATTTCTGGTGACTGTTGCTCTTCTACTTATCACAATAAATGCATTATGGAAGCATGGAAATGCATTGTTAGAGGTTCTTCATCAAAGAGGAGGGCACACATCTGTATTGAATGAATGGCAGGCTTTGTGGTTCCCGCATCCGAAAGTTAGCATGCGGCAGTTGTCTTGCGGTATTTACTGTAAACATCTAGGAACGTGGAATCTCTCTCTCTCTCCTACATCGTGCGTTCTTACACACGATACGCCATTCGGGTAGGAGAACCGAGAATCGAGCTAATTTGTAAGCTGAAATAGTTGAGACTTCCATAGACAGTGAAGTCCATGGTTTGGTGGGGCTTTGTTGGAAAGCTGATTCTGAGTAGACTGAGTGTAGTTCTGCACAAAACCAAGCTGTAGTAGTTGCATATATATGTACGTGGCTAGTAGGTAGGTGCCGATAGGTGCCGATATTATTTTGCTTTTCATGTTTAAGACTACGCGAGTACTGTATCATGAGTCCTTCTTACAGAATCTACATTCAAACGAGATCCACCTCCTTTTAGAAATCCAGTCCAGAAAACAAGATTGCTCAGAGAGGTCAGGCTGCAGATGTAAAGCACGGTAAGTTTTGTGCAAAATAGCAAATGCACTTTGACGAGTTCCAATTCTTCAAAGTCTCACTAACAAAAAGGAAAGCAAGCAATGCGCATACTATCAATTCTCAGTAGGAAAGCTTTGTGACCGAATAAATTAGACCTTAGGGAAGCATAACTTTGATTAATTCAGATTTTAAAACATGATGTGCAAGTGGTTCTTTCAAGTAATTGCCCTACTGATTTCACTTATGTTTCAGGGTGCATCGTTCTTATCTTCTCGATTGTTGTTAGGCTTGACCTCCATTCGGGCACTTGCAATTATTGAGGTATCCACAAATAAGCTCTGTAAGTGAGAAGGTTTAGGTCACAAATGAATGAGAAATCGCTAGCTTCAAAAATAACAGTTGTTGAAACTGAAAAAAGTGTTGAATTAGCATTTCTTTCAACGGAATCGGCTGCCTCAAGCGGACGATGGCCTAGATTCTGATTACCAACATATTACTTGACTTGGGTAGCAAGTATACCTAGTGAGGAAGGGGCAAATCTAGCATGGCAGCATTTGTGTCTGTAAGGAACGGTTTCTGCCTTTTAGATTGATTTCCCACTTTCTGATTGCGGTTTGATATTTTTTGCAGCCAGTTATTCAGAGATACTCCTAGGGATGCGTATGTACCTTATCCATCTCTTGTGGGTGATGATTCCAAGGATCAGTCATGAACCTATAAGCTATTCAGACACGTTTCGGATCAGTTTGGGTTGAAAATAGTTGAAGTGAGGCAGTGAAGAAAGCTAAATTGCAGAGAGTTCGTTTACTTTGACTGCAACTGCCCATCTTGCCTTCCACTACCTAAGTAACAGTGAAATATGAAGATTTTCGACTCTGCTCTTTCAGACGAGTTTGACACCCATGGCTCCCCTCGGAGAACCGGAATGGCTAGTTGACCTTGCCTAGTATTAACAATAGATGCAGTCTCAGAAGCACTTCTACGGTAAGCGAATCCACGTGGCACTACACCTCAGCCTATCCTTATTGGAGATTCGTTTGGTGGTGAGTAAGACTCTACTCTTCACTATATTGCTCTATTCTGGCAACTGACCATGAGTCCATGCATATTCCATTAAGGGTGCGAGGGAGGAAAAAATCTATTGATGAGAGTGAATCCCAAAAAAAAAGGCATTTATTGAAGTGTTTAAAATACTGGCAAGCTGTGACCAGAACTTTGTTTGTTTAGTTTCAGGTCATATCTAATTTCAGCTGTTTGGTTGAATGTTGGGCGAACTGTACCTGTGACTTCTTCTCTCTGTCAACCTCATCAAATGACTTGGAATCATTTGGACCAAAAATGCATCCCCACAGCCAATGTCCACGTCGTGCTCGCGTGAAGTTTCCAACTGGAAAATGCTTTTGTCAAGGTGGAATTGCCTCTAAAGCGAACTAAAGACCCACTCTGCGATCGCAGTTTGTGGGTACTTGTTATTAGAGTCATTGTGTAGACGCTGTGTGAAAAGTTACCGAGAAGGCTACAGTTACTGTAATGCTACATCTTATGGTGGCGTCCAGACAACTTTTTACCGCGGTCACGCCGCAAACCACATTTTTTGCTGCCAAATTTTTTCTCATCAGGCTTTTTTTTAGAGAACTCTGTCAATGCAACTTGTGTCTTCAGTGTGAGCAACACTTAAGTATGATAGAATGGTCTTACAAACGTCGGCGGCACCGTCGTCGAAAGATCGCTGGCGTGGATAGAGCAGCAGGATTTTGGCCCAATTAATACCAGTTGTTTCCTTCTCTGCCTCTTGTCGATAAACTGTAAAAGTTCATATAGCTTTTGTTTCTAAAGAATCTTGAATATCTCTGTCAGTTTTGGCAAACACTTTATGCCAACGAAAGATGTCATTCAGTAACGGGCCAGCGCTTGAACATTTCGTGGCATTTTTACCACTGAATCGAGGAATCTCCTCTATTTTATAGTGAGACAGGGTTGCACCATGTATGGATTAGCGTTTAACCTTTCAAGCAAGTCTGGTACCTACATCGACTCTGAAGAGATGGAAGACTTGATTGGCTTGGGTGGATATCGACAACGGATTCGATCCCCTAACCATGCGTGTGATAGTGTGCCACTTACCACTGCAGTACCCCCGCCTTCTGCACCACCTAATCAAAGTTGAATAATATAGCGTAAATGAAATGTTGGTCAACGAAACTTGACCGGTTCCTTTTGGATCATAACATACCTTCATATTGCTTTACCCAACTAGTTGGAATGAACGAAGGCGTTGTTAGCATTGTATGAAGCATGGCTGCTTTCAGCTGGAATAAACGCCATCAATGGCTGCTTTCATAGTCCGCCGGCGTGCCGGCGTGCGTGCCAGCGGAGGCAGTGCTAGGGGGGAGGAGGGAGCCAGACAGTGTAAGGCAAACAGTCCACGCCCCTTCAAAGGTTGTTTGTTTTCAACCCCTCAAAGGGGGCGTGGACTGTTTGCCTATCTGTCTGCCTCCCTCCTCCACGCCGGCACGCCGGCCGGCCGGCCGGTCGGCGGACTATGAAAGCAGCCAATAGCCTTTCGAAAATTGCAAAATAATAACCAAAAAGAGAAGATTTGTTCAAAGCCAAAAGCGATGTAGGTGGTGATAAAGCGCCGGTGTTGAGGCAAAATTTTATCCGCTCACCGTATTCCTTCTTTCGATTAACTGCTGTATTTCTGGATCGAGTTGGGTTTTTTTAGTTTTAAAGTAGTCGATAGTCTTGTCCAACACGGAGTCCACAACTTTTAAGACCTCGAATTGTGTCGAGTTGACTTTGAAATTATTCTCATTGTTAATAGTTTTCATGGAAACCTACATTGGCGTCAAACGGAATCTTTCCAGAGAAAAGCTTCACAATCACATCGTTTTCGTACGAGGTAAGGATTTTTTCAGACTCCTGAATAGGAAGGCTTCAAATATCTCATATTGGTCTGTAGGTACAACTTTGTAACTATTGGGAGTACCTTATCTCTGAAGGCAACTTGCAGTATTTTCCTAGCTCCATCTAACGTATGCTTCTAAAAAATCAAAAATTTTGACTCCATCAAAAAAACACTCTTTCAAAATAAAGCGTTTGAAGTGATTTCTGTATTTCATAATGTTCAATGTTAGTCAGGAGACGAGTATTCTCTTGATATATTACTGCGACTGTAATTCGTCGATACCAAGACTTTGAGGAAAGCAGGAGAAGATCAGCCGAAATGGGGGCCGAAGTATGGGATCAGTTAGCTTCAAGAGTTAGTTCTAATTCTTCAAATTGGAAAAAAAACTTGTTTAAAATTTGAAATTCATTTGTGAGTCTGCAAGTTCTTTTATACGGATTTTTCTATAAGCTTTTCGGGAGAAAGATTGCTTAAAAATGGACAGATACCGGCATTACCCGTTTATCAGTAATGGTTAGGAAAGTGATGCCACTCGCTGACACCTATCACTTCTGCTCCGTCTCCTTCCGTCCAGTCCCTACCATCTCTTGTGCAGAGACCTTGCCCCGTTTCGTATTTTCATTACTCGTTCCTCAGGCATCACATACAGTAGCGGTCAAAAGGCTTTGGCCAGAAGGACCATTATCCGTATTTCCAGACGATTTCGGGTTCAAGCTCTTTGGGATACTTGGAACATGACCAGATTGTAGGTTAAGCCACTAAATATTCATAGCGCACCCATGCTACACATATCGAAATTTTGCCTGATTACATCAATAGGAAAGTAGTTACAACTGAAAAGTGCGACTGAAGAAACATGTGACCGAATTCTTTCGAGCGCTACTGTATCACCTGAGATAACTAGTACTTAACTTCACATTCATTTCCTTTTTCCGTCGCGGGTCTAACACTCGTGGGCAACATATTTTTCTCAAAATTCTAATTGAATCATCAGTTTTTTGTGGTTTGTGGTGGATTACAAATGGATCACAAAGGATGAAAAAGCAACGGAAAAGCGACCCACATTTTTCTTCTCTAAATTCTCATATATAACTATGACTAAAAAAGTATGTTCTCACATCTTCCTGCCCGACATTCTGGATTCTATTCAGGTCAAAGTCTTCCAGCACTTTCTTCAGATCCACATCCTACAAGTATCTCTCATGAAATCCCCGGGCAACCAGGGCCCTTCATTTCTCAGCGGAGCTTTGCTGTCTTCATAAAATCCAAAACCAAAATGAACCGAATTTTGTAGTTGAAATTCAGGATAGGAAGCAAATATAACCTCATCAATAGCAGCAAACACATCTTCTTCTCTTTTGTACTTCTTTGGATTTTTTCTAGAAACTCTGATTTCTGATTCTTCTTTATGAGCCTAAAGACATTTGTGAGCTTCAAGCTAGTATCTTTATTAAGGCCAGGGTAAGTGTATGCAGCTATTGGCTGAATTGGTAGCTGAGCTGGTTGGTAAAGCCGGAAAATCCTTAGTTACGAAAGCAGAGGAGGGCAATTGTTTCTGATGCTTATGAGCGTTTCCAATTCTTTTAGAGTATCGTCTTCAGAACTTTTGAGGTAAGTCAGTTTCTGACAGAACCATGCTGGTGCGGATACGTTTTTTTTTNTTTTTTTTTCGACCCAGACGTGGCGTCGACAAGAGTCTTTGCTGGAAGAATCGCTTACGGGAGGAAAATTGGCAGTTTCCTGGGTTTTAGTGGGTTGTTCCTCGGTAGTCGTGGCAGCTTCAGTGGTTGTGGTCGTTTCATCGCTCTGAAATGAACCAAAACTCAGGATTTCAGCAGCACTGCACAATCATCTGAAAGTTAACGAGCTCACAAAATTACAAGTGAAACGTTAATTTTGCCACTCGCTAAAAGCGAAAAGGGTAAGCCGGACCGTGGGTTCGTTCGGGTATACCACCCCTGAAGTCATATGGTAGCCGCAGTTAGCTACACCAACAAAGCACTAAAACTGCACGTGGGGTAGGGAGGGGAGGCGGAGGGCACTATCATAGCCGGCGGTCGTGAAGCCGTATGGTACTTCTTGCGGCTTACAGGTGCACCCAGACTTTCCCACTCATTCTCTCCCAGTACTCCAACCTCTGCCTCATTAGTCAGTCTCTTATTGCGGTGATTTTGTCGAAGGTATGGGCTAATATACTGTTGTCTTGGCATGATCGTGAACAACGAAACCCATTCCAATTCTGCTACTCGAAAAGAAAGCCATCCTGAGTCAAATATTGCACCTTCACTGAGTTTTGCTTTAATTTTGTTGCTAGCCGTTACCAGAGTTAAGGGTTGTGTTCTTTCAAAACGGAAGCTACTTTAGAATTGGGGTCGAACAGGAAAAAAATCGAAAGCATTGCTAATAATAGTTTTGTGGACCAGAAGGAAGGAACAGTCAAACGTCGCCGCGGGCGGATCACACGGGTCATGGCCGGGGTTCGAATAAGAGGGACGGGACTATTCAGAAGTCGTTTTTTTGACTTAGTGATCAGTGGATTACAACCGTCCCTCCCATAGTGGACCTTTCTTTGGGATTCGTTGGTTTATGCCTTTTTTCGTGACTGATTCATTGTACAGCCGTATAATGAATAGGCTAACCTACGCACACTAATGCGTACATCACATCAAAGAACCTTCTGAGTGGGGTAATTTTTAAATTCCAGTACTCGTTTTCATCGTGAGCAGCTCAGAGAACGTTTATGCTTCCCATGTTGAGGACAAATTGAGACATTTTCGCTCAAAACGAATTTAACAGTATCCGACGTCCCTTGCGACCTCATGGGAGTATAGGAGGCTATGAAAATCGCAGACGAAAAAGTTGGAAAGATTATACCGCACGCTTACCGTTCGACTTGATTGCTCCGGGCTAGGTACTTTAGGCGATTGGATTCCCTAAATATAGAGTGCCATTTCGTACGGCGACTCAGATATATTGAAAATGATTTCAGCAGGAATGGAATTCTGAATGATTTCAGCTATTATCATTTCTTATTTGATCGCCCAACTATTTACACACTCATAGGTTACAATGGTGAGAAGTAATAATAGTAGATGGTAACAATAACGAGTAGATGCAAGCAATCACAATATCATGAAAGAGCTGGAAGTGCGTACTACAGAAGTGACTGATGGCGGGGCTCATTCTGCCTGCCTACACGGACGAAGGACTGTAGGGTTGTCTAGACGATACATGGCCTTGTCTCTTCTAAGTGCGTTCCAAAAAGGGAGCCTAAAGGGTCAGATTTAACGTCCAAAATCCCCTTTCCCGTCAAAGACGCCGAATGGTGGCAGTGTCGAAAAGAATTGCAGAAGCGAGGCAGGCGGAGTGTGTTTCTAACTATGAGGGCCGCGTATTTGACTCAGATCACACAGCGCTGAAAAAGGGTAGCTTTTTCGTTTCTCTCGCCTTTATTTTTCGAATTTACCACAAGTGAGAAGTCACTGAGCAGTTCCCCCTTTCTTGGTTAACTGATCCACATGTCACGGCTAGATATGCCTTCAGTCAGAGTTGGAATCAAGACAGTTATCACACAGACATTGCGGACGCAGAAGATAGAATGAGTGCTTTTCATTGTTCAACCTGCAGGGGCAGATGCACACTTATTTCAAGGCAATATAAGAGACGTTTAGAGATTTTGAGGCTCACTCCTTGGCCGGTGGATATGGCGTAGATGTCATTTACTCTTAAAATAGATACGAGGAAAAAGTGTTAACCGAGCATGCACATTCCCCTCAGACTTGGGTGAAAATAACTCCATGCAAATATGAAAAACCGAAACTGAAATTGTGAGCTGCATGAACCATTTCACCTGCTCCTTTTCTTTGCTTTCCTTTCTGGCTTTCTTCTGCATTGGTTTCTTCTAGAAAGAAAGAGTTAGGAAGGGAATATATTCGACATAGGATCTTTCTATTAAAAAGCTTCATATACCCTAGGATGCTTGTCGAGCTTTTTCTTCCAGCGCAGCTTCCTGAAAATAAAGCATTCCGAGCTTCAAATAAGATGTTCTTCCGATTTTTCGACTGATTAGTTTAGGTTAGGGAATGCGTTAGAGTTAGGGACCAGAAATTCCAAAATCACCTATTCACAGCTGGACATATGTAGGGGCGAAACTGCACTTCAGTCTTCTCAAATACAGTTGGCAAATCTTCCAAACTGTCGGCTTGTACGAATATTCTGGAAAATCGGATCAAAAGAATGACTTCCACGACAATTGCCAAAATTACACTGCTCACTACATCAAGCAAGAGCTGTTCCTCCATTGTGCCGTATTTTATGGAAAATTCGTTCAGGACGAGCAGGGAGACCAACTTTTATCGGTAGAAACAAAGGCATTCAACTGCGTAATGAGAGTCGTCTCATAAATCACTGAGGCATACTTGTACAGAAAGCCCACCCCTCCTGCCCAATAAGGTGTGCTGACCCGTAAGAAGTTTTTTCGAAGTCATCGCCCTTGTTTTGTGCACCTGGGATAGTGCCTTGGGAGATTGGGAAAGAAGTTTCATCAAGCGTCTATGGAGGGTGAATGGTATAAGGAGAGTATAAATGTAGCATGCTGAGAGAATACTCCTTTCTGAATGGAATCCTCTATCTAGAAGTCTATTCTTGACGAATATGCTTTATATTTAATGTAAGTAATTGATTGAAAGAGCAATAAATTCACCCTCTCTTTCTCATTTCTTCGCGCTTTCGTTGCAACCGCGCTTTCTGTCCCTGCGGTGGGACTGGTTCGACTTTAGGTGATGCACTTCGCGGAGTATCTGATCCTACGCTGGCTGATTTTTCTTCTTTGACTGATTTATGACTTTGCTTGACTTGCTGTTTGAGGTAATCGTGATACTCCTTGTTGATGAATTCAGGACCAACTTTCCTGCCTAAAAACGAGGGAGACATGTGTAACGTGATCATTTAGTAAACAGGTGATACTCCGCGAGCTACGTCCAGTTCCTGCTACAGTGCCTCGTAGCGATTAGATAAACAGAGGAAAAATGCCAGATTTTTCACCAAATTGGCCCACACTGACAATGAGACTATTCGCAGCTCCGGACGCCTTTTGATTAGTGTGTAGTTGTGTAATTTTGTAGTGAAATCGATCACATCATCTTTAATCGAAAGTTTTGCCCGATTGACGTCGCCACTGTTCCAAAGTTCTACACGGGATAGGACCGTCTTCTCTTTCGCGTCAGACTCTGTTTCTCAATGCTTGGATAGAGAGCTGCGAAGTTCAGAAAACGAAGCCCCAAGACCGTCATCAACTAGGACCACTGCCTTGAACAGTCTTTGAGAAGATTCCGTTATCAAAAACGGAAACATCGATGAAGATAGGCATAGGGAATACGAGCAACCACGGACGACTCTCTGTGAAGGCTGCTAAACTATAGGGAGTAGCAATAAAAGAAGATTTTCGCTAGAGAAGAACAGCAGTTCCAGCCGAAGCCGCCGAGACTGGGAAGATTGTGTGCAACGCCAGCTGGAGCTTCGCCAATCACAAGACCGAGATGACTCCAATACGTCGCTCTGACGTGACAATAACTGCATCTGGGAGGGCATTGGAGGGCATGGTCATCGTCTTCACTCGGATTTTTTGATCATCCATGTCTGTCTGCTTACCTACCACTAGACAGGAAGGATATGTCGTTCTATTGGTTCCCCTTTCCGAAGTTCAACATGCTATCACGTCGATGGAGAACTGTAAGGCGATCCGTCCCGACAGGGTCAAACCAGAACATCTGAAAAGTCCTCCACCAGTTGTCGTCAGAACTATAGCTAGGCTCTCAACGCGTTGCCTTCCTGTATGCAAAGTGCCCACGTAGTGGAAAACTAGGAAGACTGTTTTGTTGTATAAGAAAGAGGTCCACACGATATATGCAATCATCGCCCAATCACTGTGCTGTCTGTAATATACAAACTACTCACACGAATATTAGATGAAGGCCAGCAATGCGAGCAAGCAGGGTTCTGAAGAGGATTTAGTACAATCGAACACATCTGCAGTAGTTACAGACTCATCAAATAAGAACGCCAATATAAGGGTGCTTCGTGAGCTCTACAGCATTTCACGGTCGGGATTTCGTCATCCTACATACAATAAGTCATTGGTAACGTGATGAGGGGTCCGGCAGAGCGATGCCATCTCCATCGAACTCTTCAGCGCCAGTCCTGAGAACAACATGCATCATTCAGAATTAGAATGCATAATAGTGCTTTATCTCCGCTTTGCAGACAAAATCTTGCTTACAAAAACGAATAGCGAGCAGGCGGAACGAATGCTGGCCGTTTGTTTTTGTAAGCATTATTCTACCTGTCAGTAGTCTTGAACCGATCTACCCATAAGCGTTCAACGGCGTTTATGGGTAGATAGGTTCAAGACTGAACTTAACAAAGACGAGTTCATGAGAAGCTAATTGGTAAATGATGCTACCCTTACGTTCAACGGAACGGGTATTTATGAATGCTCTGGCTACTTGTATCCAGGTCGAAGAGTCAATTTGACGAGTTACGTAGCTCTTGAGCTGAGCAGAAGGAGACGCGCGGAGTAGGAAGCATTTGAGAATATCGAGGGATTAATGAAGAAGGAGAGGAGTGTGTGGCACCGCGCTCACCTTTTCAAAGCTACGATCCTCTCTGTTTTTGGCGTACGCCCTAGAGACTTGGTCTCTACGAAAGCAGGGTGAGCATTCTGTAAGCGTTGTTTAATGCGCTTTGGAAAGGGAAGGAATGCTTGAAATTTTCCTTTACACAAAAGGGCAGAAAGGAGGCAGAAAGAAATCCGATGTTCCGAGCTTCGCCACAGGACGAACATGGCATCAACAATAATATTATCGTCAAAACATTAAAACCCTTTAAAAACAAAAAATGCTGCTGAATATTCGGAAAACCTAAAAACGTTGGTTGTCCGACATACCCAAGTTCTTGCCTAACATAGTTGGCACGAGTTTATAACGAGTAGCAACGAATCGGGAATGAGTCCTCTCTCCCAGAAAGACGTATCTCGATATAAAGTGAATGATAGCAATGATAGCGCGATTTCTGACAATGATTATGTTTTATTGCAAGAGTTTCCTCAAGTGGTCGCTTTCAGAGAACTTTCGTAGATTATACGATAAGAGGGATCCGGGAACTTCTCCCCTAACACGGCGTCGCACACGCCGCACCTGCCGCCTATCGCAGGATTGCGATGGAAGATTGGAGCGCGCAATTTGTGAGGTGGGAAGTCCTTTAATTATTTGAATTGGCTGGCCGCTCTTTTCAATTACAATGCGGTCTTGATCGTCGTTTATATAGAAGTCATTTCAATTAATCAAGTCTAATAAACATGAAAACTAAAAAGAAACAGAAGAAAAAACGATCAAATCCAATGAAAAAGCAGGCCAATCAACGAAAAATATCGCTTCCTATCGATTGGCGGGAGGCGGGGTGAGTACGGTAATTGCACTGACATTTGCCGCATGCCGCAAGAGAGAATGCCGCGATAGGGGAGAAGTTCCGTTACCCCGATAAGAGGGACGATATCATGAGCTCGGGTGGCTTACTTCTCACCGAATGCTCACGGTAAGCGCCAGGCGTTAGTGGTTCAGCAGCCACTACCGTGTCCTTAAACTGGAAATTCAAGCCTTCCTCTTTATAGCGCGCGAACGGATGCGGATTGCGTAAGGTGATTCTTGGGGACAAGTCACCACACCCCATAAAGTCTACGACAAGGGCTGTATGGTTGATAACGAATTTGATTTGAGAAAAAAAATGTAACTTGGACCCATCTGAGTAGAAGACCAAAAATTCTAATCATTTCCTGAGCTCAAATCAAATTCATTCTAGTGATTGCAATTTTGAGTTCTCAGAGAAACACAACAAGCCTAGGGCCAGATAGATCAAGACAACGTCAGAATCTTTGAAATTTTGACGAAGTCGCTGTCTACCTTGTCAGAGGCGATGTAATGAATGGAGTACACAGAGAACCAGTGCTCGTATGTTTATCTAGGAATGGACTCTTCTCTCACAAGTAAAAATCACATTGTTTTTTTTTTTTAAATTTTTCACTTGAAGCTTTGTCATGTTCGGGGTGTCGTGGGAATATGCTGCTTGGCGAGGTGTGCAAATCTGAGTGGCTTTGTATCCGTGTTTGTATCGCCATGAAAATTACCTTTATGAATGGAAATGAACAACATGTTACGCATAATA